GGGGCGCCCAGTGGGTCAACAATTTTTTTTTTTTTTTTTTTTGGGCTCACTCCAACATGGCTACGTGGAAAGTGCTGACTTCCTGTCAGGGCTCATCATCAGCCTGTGTTTACGTGACGAGGAAGAAGACATGAAAGACGACTTTGTGTTGTCATCGCTGCTAAACAATGTGCCACTTGACTAAAAAGAACACACTGAAACGTTCAATAGGAGTGAAAGATGAACACACACACACACACACACACACACACACACACAGTCAATCTTCCACGCCTGGCATGAGATCTTGTCCAGAGATGTCAGGTGTGTGTGTGTGTGTGTGCGCGCGCGTGTGTGTGACTTCATCTCAGGGAAGCTTCTGTTTGTTTCCTGTTGGACGTTCCAGGCTTTTCCGTCTGGAGAACGTTTCGTGGAGATCAGGCACACGCTCACATATGTAAACACACACACGGACATGGATAGACATACATGCACGGCAACGTGCAGACACATACACACACACACACACACGCGCGCACACACAAATTGACAGATGCCTGTGCAGGAGTTGGCATGTGTGCAGAGTAACGTGAGCACACGCGCAATACGCTAGGACGGACGGATGGATGGATGGCTGGATGGATGGACACAAAGACGCATACAGACACACACACATGGACGTACACCCATGCAAGTATGCACGGCAGTATGTGTGTGTGTGTGTGAGTGGTTGGCCAGACCCAAACACGTCAAAAAAGACAAAATGTCTCCCAAAATGGACATCTTAAAGCTCCGAGGCTCATAAAAACAAAGCAGCTGCACTCGAAGACTCACTCTTCAGTGAGGGAGCGTGTCCGCGTTCTTATGTACGCGTTGCACAACACGGGTCAGAATTCCTCCTATTGTGCGTCGACTTAGAGCAGAATCTCTTTTAAGTCCCAAACAAACTTCAAACTTTGCAGGCAATACTTGAGCATTTCTTACTGTTGTCCAAAGAAGTCCTGACCTGAGAGGATGATGTGTTTGTGTGTTCAGCTGGTGTTCTACAAAGTGGTGATGGGTCTTTCCACACTGGGTCACAGCTTATCTCTTCTCAGTCTGCTCAGCAGCACCGTCATCATCGCTTTCATCAGGTGCGCGCGCACACCATACACACATCGCATCCCATCGACTAGTTATTGATTATCATTAAGATCTCTTCACGAAGAGTCGGAGCTGTGGTTAGCGTCGTCCCGTGGCATGCCCTGATGGAGGTCCACTCGCATCTTCAGGCTCATCCTATATTTTAAAGAGCAGTTACAATAATCAGTATTTACAATAAAGATGGTGGTATCCTCTTAATCAAGAGGAGTCCCTTTGATTGGCAACAAACGGAGTCTGCTGTGTTCACACCCACAATGGCGCAGACCGGCCATTTTTTGATATATGTCGGCGTGGCATTTTTTTTGCGCGTGTGCAGGAGGCTTCACTGCATGAGGAACTACATCCACATCAACCTGTTTGCATCCTTCATGCTGAGGGGCGTGGCCGTGCTCACCAAAGACCTGCTGCTCTTCTCCAACGAGGAGGAGGCGGAGACGCTCGACTGCAGCGTCCAGCCCTCGCTGGTGACATCGCCGACACGCCCCAACATGCTCTCCTCAAAATGCATCCCTTCATCAGCTCCGCATTTCTTTCACTCTTCACTTCCTGTCCCGATACATATCCCGACGTCGTATGACAAAATAATATGTGTGTGTGCGTCTGTTACGATGTTGCAGGTGGGCTGCAAGAGCAGCCTGGTCTTCCTGAACTACTCCATCATGGCTAACTTCTTCTGGCTCCTGGTGGAGGCGCTCTACCTTCACACGCTGCTCCTGGTGGTCCACGCCCGCTACGCCCGACTCTCCGTCTACTTGCTGATTGGCTGGGGTAGGACATGCGCAACCCGTCAGACGCATTGCGCCACAATTTGCCCTCACCCCGTTTGAAACCCTAACACTCCTTTGAAAGCCTAACACTGGGTCTTAAAACCTTAATTTGAAATTTAACTAGGTGACAACTATTTTTTTTAACTCCTAACCTGACTGGACACCCTATTTTTCATTTGGAACCCTAATCCTTATCTAAGATCCGACGTCTGACTTGAAACATCCTAGCTTGAAACCCTACGGTGAGACACTGCTGACATTTTCCCCAAAACACGTCACCGGGAACAAAACGAGTCATCAGTCTCAGTGCCAAAGTGTTTTCACTCAGCCACACGGGTTCCAAACATTGTCTGGCTCACACCATCCATCGTGTGTGTGCGTGTGTGTGTGTCTGGCCGAGCCTCGGTGTAAACACTTCCTGTCTTTGCGGCCTTCAGGAATCCCGTGCGTGTTCACGGTGGCATGGATCTTATGTCGCCTCCACCTGGATGACACTTGGTGAGTCCTTCCGGGACCTTCCCGAACTTCTTTCAAACATGACATGTTGTATGAATGCCAAAAAGTCCCATTTGCCACCAAGCCCCTCCCCTTTTCTCTATTATGGCACGGCTGCAGATGAGGTGTGGTGGCGCCTCCGTGGCTCGTGAAGCCCGCCCACCATCTGAGCCATAATCCGCATTCTCTCGTTCAGAAAATGACTTTGCGATACTGTTTTTGTTGCGCTAACGAATGAGATGCTAAAATCCCGCGCGCTCGATTTCAGGTGCTGGGAAAGGAACGACAACCCTGTTCCCAGCAGAGTGTTGGACTGGCCCATCCTGGCGTGTGTCGTCGTACGTACGCCTCACCACAACCGCAGCCGGGTGATGGGACTTGTCGGCGATCAGTCCTGAGTGTTACCCCGCTTGCTCGTTCAAACCTGCGCGTGTGTGTTGTGTGTCGCCAGGTGAACTTCATCCTGTTCATCAGCATCATTCGCATCCTGGTGCAGAAGCTGCGCTGCACCGACGTGGGCGGCAACGAGCAGTCGCAATACAAGTAAGCCGGCGTCCGTTCTTTTTCTCTTTGCTCACGGTGAAAGCTTCAGTATGTAACCATTTACGACGTCCATTTGATTTTAGTGCTGAGGGGGGGAGGGATAGTCAGCATGTTCTCAGGACTGTTTTCTCACTCCATTAGCACCCTCTATTGGAGGAAAGTCGATACTGCAGCAAAGCGATGAAAAAAGATGATCTGGTTAGCATATTTTTTTCTTGGGCTTGTGTGTGCAAGGCGATTGGCCAAATCCACCCTCCTGCTCATCCCTTTGTTTGGGATCAACTACGTGGTCTTCGTCCACCTGATGGAGCCCAGCGATAAAACCATGCGGCGCGTCAAGATCTTCTTTGAACTGGGCCTCGGGTCCTTCCAGGTCTCACCACACTTCTTCCCCAAAAAATGCCACAATACTTTTTCTTAATTTTTTTTTTTTTTTTAACACGACAAATAACTTAATTGGACATATAAAGTCCCCCCCCCCCACCACTAAATCCTCATCGTCCATTTTGTGTGTTTCAGGGTTTCATCGTGGCCGTGCTTTACTGCTTCCTCAACTGCGAGGTGAGCTCCCGGTTCTCGCGCTTCATCCTCCTAAATGCTTTGCCGTCTATTTCATTTGTTTTTGCCCCCCCCCCAGGTCCAAAGCGAGCTGCGGAGGATACGTCGGAGCTTGTCCTTCAAACGCTACGTGGGCGGTCGGGAGTGCGGTCTGCGCGCCGCCGCCACGCTGGCCGCCAACGGCGCTGAACACTCGGCCCCGTTCCCCAGGAACTCCCGAGCGGCATCCATCTTGCAGACGGAGACCTTTCTGCTGTGACCGCCATGATCCTCAAGGTTCCTCTCCAAAAAAAAACACCATTCAGTTTTTTCACCTTTCATTCGAAATATACTCTCTTCACACGCAACATAGTGCAACTATTTCGTTATTCCGATGCATTTCTTTGAAACCCGAATGGTTTATTTCCACCGCTTGCGTCTAATATTATAATGGGACTAAAAGCAACACCCTGAAGATTTTGACCTTTTGCTTCGAAAGAAAAGGGCACATTAAAAAAAAGGTCTTCAATGCATGTTTTTCGAAGAGAAACTCTATGCTAGCATGTGCAGCACATGCAAATTGTTTGCCGTCTATTTAATTTGTTTTTGTTCCCCCCCAGGTCCAAAGCGAGCTGCGGAGGATACGTCGGAGCTTGTCCTTCAAACGCTACGTGGGCGGCCGGGAGTGCGGTCTGCGCGCCGCCGCCACGCTGGCCGCCAACGGCGCTGAACACTCGGCCCCGTTCCCCAGGAACTCCCGAGCGGCATCCATCTTGCAGACGGAGACCTTTCTGCTGTGACCGCCATGATCCTCAAGGTTCCTCTCCAAAAAAAAACACCATTCAGTTTTTTCACCTTTCATTCTAAATATGCTCTCTTCACACGCAACATAGTGCAACTATTTCGTTATTCCGATGCATTTCTTTGAAACCCGAATGGTTTATTTCCACTGCTTGCGTCTAATATTATAATGGGACTTAAAGCAACACCCTGAAGATTTTGACCTTTTGCTTAGAAAGAAAAGGGCACATTTAAAAAAAAAAAAAGGTCTTCAATGCATGTTTTTCGAAGATAAACTCTATGCTAGCATGTGCAGCACATGCAAATTGACCCAGAAGCCGATTCGAACCCCCAACCTCCGAATTGTGGCAGATACGCAAACTACTCGTCAACTCTGAAAATGTGATTAAAAACACCACAAAATCTTCCAAGTCCCATTTTTTTTGTTTTTTATTTCTCTTCTTCTTCGTGACCACTAACACGCCAATTTCACATCATAAATAAATACAAATTTTCATGACACCAAATAAGTTACAGAGTCAAAGTTGGCCAATAAATAACACATTAAATAACCAATAAATAATTGTAAGACCCTAAAGTGATTCGATCTTCATCTTCCGAACAAAGTGCGCGTCTTTTTTAATGAAGTGTGGGACGGAGGCGAGGGGAGAAGGTGTAGGATGAAGTGGACGGTGAGGATGATGATGATGGTGGTGATGGAGATGATGAAGGGGCGGAGGCTGTGGAGGTGAGAATGGCGACCGGCGAGCTTTTGGCAGGCGGGCTGGCGGTCAAAGCCTGAGCGGCTTCGGCGGCGGCCTTCCTGTGAGGGCACAAAGTGAGAGTTGGATGAGGATGATGAAGATGATGGGGGGTGGGGGGGGGGATGAGGATGAAGGTGAAAGTCACCTGATGGCGGCGGCCTTCTGGCGGACCCACGGGGCATTGACCGCAGCGCAGTAGTAGTTATCCTTGGTGTAGAAGCTGCGCGGTGAGAACAGTTTGCAGCGTTAGCATGGCGCCATTGAGTCACTGGAATTGTAGCAGTGATTGGCCTTAGGGGGGCGCTGTTTGACATCTTTCCCTGAAAGCTGAGCGGTTCAAGGTGCTCGCGTGTTTGTGCCATCTGAGTTTAAATTTCAATTTGAAATGCTGTTTTGTTTTTTTAGCCATGAAAAATTCATCATCTTTTATTCCAATTCAAACTCCAATTTAAGAAGGCAGGAAAATATTTCTAAGCCATCGCAGTTCGTGTTTTTTTTATTTATTTTTTCCTCCCCCAGCTATGGTATTTAGACGGTGCTAAACTTTTTGGGGAGAGGAAGTTAAAAAAAAAAAAGTAATACTGTATAGACGGAATAGTGGACTGGTTGCTCAGAGCCACAAGATGGCGTCAAGGCACTACTTCCCTCCAAATAAAAGTCACTTCAACGTACTACCTAAAACTCAAGATGCCATTGGATGCTCTCTTGCTTCAAAAAAAATAAAGTAAAATAAAATGCTGAAGTGATACTCACATGATGGCGGGTAGGCACTTGGCCTGAGGAATCTGCACTCGGAATCCCAAGACTTCCTCCGTGATCTCCTTGGAGCTCACTTTGGTGCAGCATTCGGTGGGCTTTCCTACTGGGCCGAAACACAAACAAGACTTGAGTTTGGTCCTCCAACACAAATCAAAAGATCAACTTACCTTGGCCGTGTCCGCACTGGACCAGGGCCACCAGAACAGCGGCCAGCAAAAATGTCTTTTGCAGGCTTCCAGAGTTCAGCATTTTAACACCAGCGGGAGTTGAGACAGGAAGAATTGAAAAAACGTCCAAAGCTCTCTTGGTTTGTCTTTTGCTGGAGTGCTGGAGAAGCGTATGAAGCGACAACTCTCGAGCGGGCACATTTAAGGCGTAAAAAAAGCAGAAGTGAAGTTGTCTTGCGCTTGAGTCATCATCCTTCCCCCCCCTGGTTTTCGCTTTTTCTCATTGACTGACGCCTTCATTTGCTCGGAATTGCTCAAAGTGACCCATGTTGGATCTTTCCGAACGTCATCTTCTGGCTCCGTTTCTTTTTTTAGCTTCTTTTAATCAAGTCAAATTTGATTTTCTGTGAATTACCTGGCCCATGTGTTTTAAAAATCCCATATGGTCCTTGAACGCATCACTTTCTACTTTCTGCTATTTATTTTTACGTGGCGTAGATTTAGAGTTGAAATTTTCCATTGTCGCCACGAAGCAGACACACATAACTACAGTACGGTTTTGTTTATTTTATTTCGTTTATTTATTAATTTTTTTAATGGGTATTTTCACACACTGACCGAAAAAAACAAAAATGTATTTTTAGTTCAAACAATGTGACAATTGGCGCCACGCTTTGTGGACTTGACAGCTGTCAGAAATTCTCAGATGACACCCCCCTGGTCAAGAATGTGTGTTGTGAAACCACGTCGTGGGGATGTGTCACTTGCGGATGTTTGTGTGACTTTTTTCTTTTTTTTTTTTTAAATATACCCTGTCATCGATTTCTTCATGACATGTCACCACATGAGTCGGGTGGAAACAATGTCAAGTCACCGCTGGCTCATCCAGGTGCCGTTGTCGTCATCCACTTGGCCAACCACCTTTTGCGTACTTTTTGGGGGCAAAAACTATTGCAAGCATTTGTTCGTTACTATTTTTTTAATTTTTTTTTAAACACAACCCACCCAGGTTCATAGTTAGCAACGCGCTTCACAACCAAAATGCTTTTGTTCAGCAGCCTCCGGCGAGTGACGTCATTTAACTCTTTCACTCCCAAAGACGTTTTAAACGTCTTTTCAGACTTGGTCCAGAATTGGCTGGTACTGAATGAGTTAATGCCGACTCGCCAGTCAGCCTTTGTAACGCGTTTTGATTCTCCCGTTAACTGCTATGTGACAGGCACTTAGCAGAGCTCTGTTTTCTGAACTGGATGTGCAAAAAAAGATCAATGTGCTAATCAATGAATAACTCCGGTCTGACAGAAGGTACTCCTTAGTAAAAGGCACATGGCAGCCTGCCTGGAGTTTCCCAAAAGGCACCTGAACGCCTCTCAGACCATGAGAAAAAAAAAAATCTTTGGGTCTGATGAGCCAAAGATTGAACCTCTTCCTGACTGTTGTTTGTGCTGACGCACCTAACAGCAGCTCAGAAAACCAAGCTTGTTGGAGTCCTTATAGGGGGCGCTAGAGAGCGCTCCCACTTGGGGACGCCCTCATTCCTCTGGAGAACTTCACTGCTGACGTGGGCAATGACAGTGACACATGCTAAGGGTGTGATTGACTCATGTGACCTCTGTGCTCGTCACGGATTGTCCGAAAAGGATGAAGAAGGTCAGAAGGAATCAAACGCAATGATGAGAATTTCAAGAATGGTTGTATTTGTGTTCATTGAGAGGCGTTGCCTAGGTAGTGACGTTCAGAGTCAGAGCAGGGCGGTCTGCATGTGAGTGTCTGGGCATGAGTTGTGAATGACAGCTGCTCCTTGCAAGTGTTCTCATTTTGTATTTGTGTGTTGGGCTGTCAATCAAGAGCCAAAGTGCATTTGCGACTGTGACTCTTTGCCCACATGCAAGAATTTTAAACGCCCAACCTCAAAATTTTGAGATGGATGTTCACCACTGTGCTGCAGCTGCTTAAATGTAAATTAAAACACCAGACAAGTTCACTACATTTTTTTTTTTTTTATTCATGACCTCTGGTAACCAAGGTGCCAATCATAACATCATCAATAAATAAAACAAAATAAGTTACAAAGTACCATTTTGCCGATAAATAATTAAACACGGTCACTCAATTCGATTCATGAACCAATAAATAATTGTGATTCGATCTTCATCCTCCAACAAAGTGCTCGTCTGCTTGGCGAAGTCAAAAAGATGAAAGGGCTTAAGGTGAGGTTGATGATGATGGTGCAGATGATGAAGGGGCGGAGGCCGCCGAGGTGATGATGGCGAGCAGCGAGCTTTTGGACGGCGGGCTGGTGGTCAGAGCCTGAGCGGCGGCGGCTTTCCTGTGAGGACACGAAGCGAGAGGAAGATGAGGATGAGGTGGATCATGATGATGATGATGAAGATGATGAGTATGATGGTGAAAGTCACCTGATGGCGGCGGCCTTTCGGAGGACCCACGGGGCGCGGATTGCGGCGCAGTAGGAGCCGTTTTCGGTGTAGAAGCTGCAGGACAACAACGGTTAATTAGCATCGTTAGCTTGGTGTCGCCAAGTCATTGCGAGTCCTCAGTGTCAATTCTATCGGCAGCTACGATTGGCTGTCGGGGGCGGTGCTGCGCACATGATTGGCTGTAGGGGGCGGTGCGGCGCAGCTTTTCCAGAAAGCCGCAAGGTTGGACCGCACTGTGGTGGCGCCAAAGGACGGCGGTTTGAGTTGGAATTTGAATTTTAATAACCACCTTGACTGAAAATCGGTGCAAAGCCGGCGAAAGCTGAATCATTGTAATCATGAAGTCCAGATGAGCGGCTGTTAAGAAACGAATGCGGAGCTGCGACCTTTTTACGTGGTGGGCTCAAGTGATACTCACATGACAGCGGGCAGGCACGGAAATTGAGGCTTTCCGTCCACACGGTAGGCGAAGATTTCCTCCGTTAGCTCCGTGTTGCTGACCTTCTTGCAGCATTCGGTGGGCTTCCCTACCGGACCGAAACATAACAAGATTTAGTTAAGAGCTCCGGCGCAAATCAGAAGATCCAACTTACCTTGCCCGTG